ACCACACCATGTCTTATCATCCATGGATCGCCTACCACGCTTGAATTCCACAATTCACTCAACTAGAGTGCTTTTGAAAGCAAGTCATCACCAAAGGCAGCTCGCAAACAATTAGCACTCTGCTGCTGATTTTAACCACATTTATAGTGATAGAACATCCTCCAATGACAGCGACTGAGTTATGTCCTAATGCACTTCGAGTATAGCCACCCTTATGACTTGTGAGTTGTGCTCGGCTGTTGATATTTGGTTCTGTGAGTTGAAATCACAGTAGTTTACAATTCACGATTTCCCTGCCCGATCATCTGCACCTCGTAATCGTGTACTGCGTATCCGGAAACATTTTGCTCAACTCTCGTACTTATTTAAGCCAGTGTAGGTCCTTCGCTGGGATATCGACCCACCACGGACATCCATCTTTAGGATAGCAGACCGTAGTCAGACAACACGAAGCGGAAAATGCTAATGTGTAACCAGGGTGGTTATGGGTCAGGAGGCGGACAGTAAACAAAACGGCCAAAATAAACGCTTCCTTTATCCCGTATACCAAACAGTTAGGTTTCGAATAGTATAAGCAAAATTCTAACAACCCGTTGAACACTAGTGCTGCGAGATGAGCCATCTGCGATACTAGCAAAAACCTTGAAAAAAGGGTTAGTTCTTCACCGTTTGTGAATAAAGTGAAACAATCGGATCAGCTGCCCCCGGTGGTCAAGTGAGCAATATGTCTGTGTGCTATAAATGAGGTCCCGAGTTGCAATCCTCAGTTGGGTCGACGGATTCACGCAGCTGATATTGAGACCCAACCAGTTTGAGGCGGTTGAACAATACATTCGAGGTTTTCAGTTAACCTTCGAAGCACGACAAAACAAACATTATATTGTCAGAGTTACTCCTCAACACAGAAAGTTCCGAGGTGTGCGAAGAAGCGCTTATTTGTCCCGTCCGTTAACTTTTTTCACACCACTGACAATGCCCAATAACAAAGCGTACATTCTGCACCACGTAACTGTACAAATTCTGTGGTAAAATGAGAACCATCAATGAATTTGCACGGAACGAGAAGTAAGGATTTGGAATTTATAAAATAACATCGATGTTTGATTTCTGTCAGAGGGGACAGGGTGCGGCACCGATCAAGCGGTACAGGTCTCGGTCACTTCTCTATCTCAGGCACTCTTACACTAATTGGGGTACCTCGTAAAATGTAGATCGGATTCAACTCGGTGAAACAGTATTCTATAGATAGAAAGAATGCTTGTTTCACATATATTTTACGTGGGCCACTTGATTTACAACATCACATAAATGTAGACGGCCACAACCAAAACTGTCACACTCGCGGCTCCACTGTTTATGCCTCATGTATGAGGTAGAAGTCGTAACTGAATGATGCTGAAAAAGAGAAAACCTTCTCAATCAACTTCTTTCGTTTGTAAAAATTAAATAAAAGATCGTGATGTGAACGACATTGTGATCTGTTTTGTTTTACTACCCACCAATTTTCACTGCTTTCATAAATCTATGGCCTTGAATAGCGGATTTGATAGGAGTCCTCTACCACCAAAGCTGTATTGTTTTCCTCCCGCAAAGTTTGTACTGAAAACTCGACAGTGTTTAGCACTACATGAACACAGAGCAAAAAAGTATCTCTGATTGTACCCCACGGACACCTGGTTCCTTTTACTCCTTGTTTTCATTCGACAGATTGTTTCATCTGACCAGCCGGGTCAAGTACTCACTATCACTTTGTTCGAAATACTCTATGATCCAATGGCCACTGGCTACCTGGAATTGTGGGACATGTTAAGTGATGAACGAATTGCTTTGTGGGCCATCAACAATCGAACAATCGGGGATGACGGTCAGCGAACACATCGTGTCCTCAGGGTGAATTCTGCTCAACTGTACCAGGGCGTGTCGTCGGTCAAAAATACCGTGCGTATTCGATTCGCCTGGCAGAAAAACCCGGATCAGGCAATTTGTTCCCAATTTGCCGGCTGTCTACGAGCCGTAATGCAAATTGGCGTGGGTGATAGTAAGCAGCTTCGATCATACCATTCTGTTTTATTCACTCATTCATGTACGAATCCTGTCTTGACTGAAGGGGTAAGAATAATGTGGAGTAAATAGACCGGAGGTCAGTCAACTTGATTATTTTCCGAAAATTCAGTTTCTATCAGACTTTTAGAAACGATAACTTAATTTTTAGTTAACTTTCTTTATCATGCACCAACAATGAGCGGTTGGGTGGGAAGGAGAGGGCAGCAAAATGCAACCCTTTAATCGAAATTCACAACTATCCATCAAGAACATAACGCTTGTGACCGTTTAAGCAGTCTTATGAAAACCGTTTGTTGTTCGGTTTCTATAGGAGAGTAGTGAGTCCCGCTGCTCACTATACAGAGGGTGTGCAAAATAAAACAAAAATAATTTATCATCGATTCATACAGATTGCTACTGAACCATATCAGAGGAGGGATAGTCTAAAATGAGACAGCTCAGCCTATATTATATCACTCAGACAGCTTCTGCCTGGCAAAAGTATACCACCAAACGGTATAATGAGGAGGTTAAGTGTTTGCAATTCTGTTCTCCGTATATTGCATTGTATTGAAGCTTCAGAGAGTTTCAAGATAAAAATGGGAATAAAAGTGAAATAAACGGTGTATTATCCCCCAGAAAACATTAACGTAATATTACCAACACGATAGACGATAAGACGATCTTCTTGGAAAATAGTAGTTTAAACCAAATGGGGGATTCGTTTAAGTGGATATTCTTCCCCTAATAATCTAGATATTACTGGCAGGGAATTGTTGCTCTCCCAGTCTTACTGTGGTTTTTATTCGACTTGAGAAATTTTCTTGCAGGGAGAAAATAGCTCGTATTAACTCTGGAATTAAAATTCTTCGCTCAAATACACAGAAATCAAAAAAGATCCTCTCTCTTATACAATTACATCCCACAAGAGCTGTTCACAGAATTTAATCAACACTTGACTTGCAATTCAATAAGAGCCTGTTGTTTGAGCATCATAACCATTTGACATTCTGAGAAGAATTCCTTGCTTGACCTTGATAATCACACCCAAGTTCCCTCATTTAAACAACTGTTTATTTTCCTTGTGGGATAAAATATTCAGTCCTCCACTTCTGTATCTCGTCATTAGCACAAATTCCATCGGGATAACCTTGAAAATCCTTTGATTGAATGATTCCCTGGAACCCAACTAATCCTCATCCCCTACGGTTGTCACACTCATTAACTGCACCCCTGCATCTGGAGATATACTTTGCTCCCGATTCTGTTTACAGTTTTGAATCTTTACTGCACTCTGTAATCAATGCCACATTGTCTGACTCATGCTTTGAGCATGGTGCACACCAACAGAATTCATGATACACCTTTGGTCACGGCCAGCCAACCACACTGTCATCACATTCGTCACGTGATTTGTGCCCATATGAAAATTCCAAGTTCTAAAGTCTGTCAGTGTACAAATGTTCCGTTCTGTGTAGGAGTGGAATTCCGATTGAATTCTGCATAGTTACTCCCATACGAATCGGTCCTATACATCCGCAGTTTCTGCAATAAAATCAGTGCAGCCAAAGGAAACCGGATTTGACCAGTTAGAGAGTCGTCTGATGCATGTCCTCGGTACCGTCCGAAACATGACAGATTTGGAGTTTTGAACCATATTTCTCGTTTTTAATGAATGATAGATCAAGCCTATTTAGCGCCGGATTTTATACTTTCAAACGTACATACGCTGAATTCCGGGTCTGCCTAATGTTCAGTTCAACTCAGTTCAGTTTTCACAGGACAGCTAATGGCCAATGGAGTGTCCAGAGTTCCTTCGATAGTAAGCCCACTTGTTGGCCCCTACCACTGTGAGTGTTCTATAATGGAATTTCTTCACGGGTTCTTCTCGTCCTAGTCGTCTCTCCTTCTGCAAGGGAAGATAAAGAAAAAACCTCTTCTCCCCATGTTCAGGCGAGAGACCTCACTTTTAGAAGCGTTCTCCAGACCTAATCCTATGCGTCCATTTTGGGAAGCAAGTTTATCCATCGCTTATCGAGCTTCTTCTTGAATGCGTGTACGCTCTGTAGTTCCACCACCTCCTGTGGTAACTTATTCGATGAGGTGAATACCCTGTTTCTGAAAAATTTCAAGCGCACCGCTAGTCTCGTGCGCAATTTCTTTAGTTTATATATGTGTTCCCAAGTTTTGCTTCGCGGCCTCTCAAGGAGCACTCTCTGATTCATCCCGGATAGGCCATTCATAATTTCGAATGTCTCTACCAGGTCACCTCGGGGTCTTCTTTTCAACGAGAAGAGTCCCAGATCCTACGGGCTCTGCCTATACGACTTCTTTCGCTATCCTTCGATCATCCTTATGGCTAATCATTGGATCTCCTCAAGGCAAACTGCATGCTTTTTGAAACATAGAGCCCAGGCTCGTACACAATACATACATCTAGGTGCGGTTCAACAATCGCCTTGTTCAGAAGTAAAAATAGCACCATTCTCCTGCGTGCTAATGCTGACCGCGGTCGAAAAACTCTCTACGGGCGCGGTACGCCGCTGCGGCACACTGTTCTGTCCATTTGTAATCTGCTACCTCTAGCAGTCCTAAATCCCTAACCTTCTGCATCGTTCCTAATGAAAGACCAAAGTGGCTGCTTCCCACGATCAGACGTTTATCTCCCTTGGTCAAGCCATGTATCTTTCTTATGTTGAGAGGCAAACCCCATGTATCTGGCCATTTAAGCACTGCTCCCACATCCCTTCCCAATTCTGCTCTCCCATTTGATCCCACAACCTTGACATCGTCCGCGAATATGAAGCTGGGGGAGCAAAGGTGGCCAGTAGATCTTTAATGTACAGCAAGAATAGGACTGGACCTAGCACTGACCCTTGCGGCACCCCAATAACAATGGATTCCGCTGGAGATCCCGCTTCTTCAGCCCGGACACGGAAAGTTCGATCGGTCAGAAAAGCTGTTAACCACTTATGGATCTTATGGATCTTACCCAGATCGTCTATCTGGACCAAAAGTAAGCGATGACACATTGAGCCAAATACCTTACTAAAGTCGAGATAGCATACCTCCAGTTTCTTTCCCTCGTCCATTCTCGCTGTGACTTCATCCAAAAAGTGCAACAGATTGCTGAGGCAAGAGTTGACCTTCAGGCCCCCATGCTTTGCCGCAATCAGCAGGTGGTGCTGAGAGAAGTATTCGCCTAAGTGGGTTCTTATGCTTGTGAGACTTAATGGATGATAATTTCTACTTTTTCTTTCCCCCCTTGTGTATAGCAACCACTATGGCAGTTTTCCAATCTTGTAGTAGCCTTCCCTGCTCTAGAGTCTTATTTTACAGGTAAAATGTGGGCCCTCTAGCGGCTCCGCTAGGTTATACTATGGCTGGGTGGATGCCACCTTGGCCAGCGGATTTCGTGGCATTAAGCTCACTAAGTATCCTACTTGTAATCCAAGGATACCTTTCCAAGAGATGTGAAGGTCAGGCTGGCCAGTAGCGATTTTGTCCACCCTGTGTACGCTTCCAGAGTAGTCTTTAAATCGTACTTCCATTTCCTTCTCATTGGTTACTATAGCTCCATGGTCCAGTATTAGAGGGCTCACCTTCTCCCTGAGCCCTCCCTTAGACTGCAGGTAGCGGTAATATCTTTTCGGCTGGTATTTTGCGCATTGTGCCAGCTTGAGCTAGTATCGTCGTCTGAACACTCTTTGAACGGCCACGGCTTTTTTTCCATCCTTGGTGTACTGCGCCAAAGATCTGTGGCTGCCTTTAATCTAAAAATGCGTCAGCTCCTATTTCTACGCCGTATCGATCTTCTAATCACTGGGCTGCACCACGGCGGTTTGTTGTTCGCTGACCTGGGTTTCAGAGGCGCGAATTCATTCTTTACGAGCACGATATTTGTTCNAGCACGATATTTGTTCTGATCTAGCTCCCGTGCTAGTCTATAGTGGCGTTTTTCAGGCTAGGGTACCACTTCAGTTCCGCAGCTCAAGCCTTCAGTCTTGTTGCATCTATCGTCCAATATTTCCTGAACATCCTAACAATAATTCAACGGTGCAATAGACGTAGTTCGGCGGCGAGGACGATGTGATGGCTTTTACTTAGCGGTGGGTGGTAGGTAATCGCAGTAAGATGCCTCTTCCTCGTTGTACTTATTAGGTCCAGCAGGGATGGTCTGTCTCCCCTTCTGTACCTAGTGAACTCCCGGGCATGTTGTTATAGGGTCCTCGAGTGCATCCATTTTAGGAACACGTTCTCCGGTATTCCTGTTTGTACCCGCTCTAAATCCCAGTCTATTTTTGAGAAATTGAAATATCCCACAATAAAAGCGCCTTGTGAGTGTATGTATATACCATCGAGGGCGTTTAGGAGTGCCTGGTTCTCCCCCGGGGTACTTTCGGGGCTTTTGTAGGCACTATCAACGAGACTGAGCTTAACTGGATGTTCCGGGTGCACTCCGTTACCTTGTTCTTATGATGTTGTATGTCCTATCTGACCAGGACAATTAATTCACCACCACCCCCCCCCATAGTTCCCCCCTCTCCTGTCCTGCCTGTGGGGTGTGAACCGGTTTAAGACTGGTTCGGGTATGTGGTCGACCTGAGTAAACCACGTTTCAGAAAGGACCACTACCCTGACCTTCTTTCCCTCAGCCACTGCCCATTTATTTATAATTCTACATGTATTGTTGTGCATTAGCATCAACACCTCAAGAGCCCCATGAGAGTGCTTACAGCTTTTCTGATTTTCTCCTCGGGAGTAGACGTCCTGCTTTTTGGTTGGGCTGCAGTTTCAGCTGCAACTGCTACCACCGTTTCCTCTAGCTTGAGGTGTTGCAGCTTTGAAAGGTAAGCTGGTCCTAGTAATGAATTGGGATGCTTTTCAAATCTGATAGAAATATTGGCTAAGCCGCCTAGGTTGGGGAACCTTGCCTCTTAGAACTGTCTGACAGACCACAGGAATTGGGTAAAGATTTTGTCTGAAAGGTGGAATGAGTATCTAACGATTCCGATCATTCACCTCCTTCCCATCAGCAAGCGACCATTTCTCAAGTATTGCTCATAATACTACTTCACTGTTTCACCGACGCCGTTTTCTTCCATAAAAAATGTAGTTTTTAATGCATTAGTCTTGTACGAACAGTTTTACCAATAGACTGTGAACATGCTCTTTGCGGTTGAATTGCCAGGAATAAATTTTTGGTTGACATATGGTAGTGGTTCTCGGGAGTATACCTGATCACTATGAGAGCTGCTTAGTGTGATTTTNTGAGAGCTGCTTAGTGTGATTTTTATGCGATACGGGCAATAAGATGCTCCAATGCATTACAGATCCCAGAGAATCGTGGTGCGTCGGCGAAGCGGCTTTCGCATTACAATATGAGCAGTTTTGGCTTGAAGTGTGACGTTGAAGGTAAAGCATATCACAGCTTACTCGGAGGAAATCCTCATGTGACCCGTTACTGAACAAATAACTGGAGCTGCTGTCAAACGTTTTCAGGAAATATAATTTTTCATCAAAATCGGTGTTCTCACATTTCAAGGAGAAAGTGGACTGTCACCGAATGGGCGTCAGCTCCGGAAAATATTTGTCACATTCATCTTATGACTACTCATAAGTAGCAGTAAAGTTAGTGACGATAGATTTAATAAAAATCCATGATAGGTGGCAATCATCAAGGAAATCGCACCGAAAACCGTGTGGTAATGGAACATATGAGGAACACGTCAATTTCATTGTTCATGTAATCTATGGTAGGTAGTTTTGTATTTTCTGTTTTATTCACCACCGTCCATATTTATAAATGTGGCTGTCATGCTAGTGAGCGCATTGAATACGACACCAATAAAAAGTTTTACATCAGTGAAATCACATCGATCTGCATCACTCCAATTAACTTCGAGGATAAAAAGTTCGTCGGAAGTACCAAAAAGTTGTTCTTTTCAAAAAAGCATCTTGTAAAATTCACACACGTTCCATTTGCTTATTTTAGCACTCCTGCCGGAGCTCCATGTTGAAGAGTCCGCCTTTGTCGACAATATGCAGCATGGCCTACTTGTGGAACGACCTTGGTCTTACGTGCGAATCGTTCGTTCCGACTTTGTTGGAAATCAGTACGCAGCTGGTTTGAAAGTAGTCAATGGATCAGCTGATCTTTTTGTACACAACTGCACGTGAGTATAGTATAAATCATGGGAACTCATTCCCGCAAGCATTTCAGTTCATTGATCAGTATGAGATGCAATAATTAGAAAATTATAATTAGTATCATTTCAGTGGATAGTCTCTAAATACGGCGGTGTTGATCTTAAATCAATTACTTGATTCAAGCTGAGCAATCTAACGTATGGAAGTCGCAAGCCTACACCTCCAGGCGTTACTGCTTAGTGGATTTCCACTGGTAACGATTCACAACACTAAAGTAACAGTTATAAAGTGCCTTCCAAGGCGCTAAACAGGTAGAATTAAAAGAATCTGAATATTAAAATTCTACATTTTATATCATCTCGTTTTCAAGTGAAAATTTCGTAAATTCTCATCAACCCACATACTGAGATGCACTGACAAACCGGTAATGCGATTCGGGTTTCACTTGTCACACATCAATCAGACTCGGTCTCGCTTTGTGCCTGTCAGCCGGACCGATATGGCTCCTTCTTCACAAACTGGTAACAGTGCTTCACTTAAATTATCACAAGACTGAAAGGCCCGGGAGTTGAGTAGAGGTAACGAATTGTTTGTTTCGAGAGATTAGTATAGTACTGTTAACGTTTGCAAGTCCAACAGCTTGCATTTCAGTTGAACGGATGACCAAACTTTCTAGGTCATTTCATTTTAGACCTTATAGGACGCAGTATTGCCATTATTAATCAAACGTCCATCTCGTTGTTTGAGCGGGTGTACTTGTCTCCTAACACTGCATATCAAGAGTTGGTTATTAGTGTCCTTCTCAAGCCATCCCAGTTTCCAGAACATGGAAGACTCCTTTTACAATAAGTAGTAAATGAATAACTCAAAGAAATTTCCCTGGAAACGCACAACCGATTTCGCGGCTCTTTCAGCTAATCAGGCAGGCGTATCCAACAATCTTTTGTTTCTTCATTCACATGATTGTGTCCATGATGTATATTTTCTTATATGCCAGTATTGGAGGATTCGATTTGTTTACATGATGAGTTCTTTGTATAAATGAGGCGTGAGCTGAAAAGCTGGGAAGCATTGGACAGCTGTTTCGACCTGGTTGGGTCTCATTAGCAGTGCAAGCATACTACTCACTTGGCCACCGGGCAGCTGATCAGATCGTTTTTCATTTTCCATTTACCCGATATAGCGTAACCCATCTTTGCGAGCTTGTTGCGAGCATCGGTCCTCGTTCATCTCAGCACCAGCCTCCAGGATTATGAGGCTAGTGCTGAGATAAGCAAGGTCCTAGACCTCTATGTAAACCTATTCGTGATATTTCGAAGTCATCAGCAACATGAAATATAGATTTTAAAGATCCTGTGTCAGATAATAAATGGATATTAGAAGTGACCAGTTCAGATTCAGAAACATGCTCATTCGCATTAAGAATGTGACCTCCCGAGAAAGTTTTCATTCAATCTCTTACTTTAACCGTCCTTCTTAGCCTCTGAATTTTAACCAACAGAAGCTGACACAGACAAAGGCTCTGTATAAGCCGAACTAATACATTTCTCTAGGCCTGTTTTCTCCAAGAGGTCACTACTGAACTAGGGATGAATGCATTCTATCCGGGCCCGCTTCTGTAAAAAAATATTTGTATCCGGTTGTTTCCTATAATGCTTCATCATTACTCCAAAGCCAAACCCTTCGTGATCACTCTTGCTCACAGGTTGTTCCATCACAAGGTGAACTAAATCTCAGGAAAACCTGATGATGACCAGGGTTAAAATATAAGATCTTTATTACCCTCGTTTCTTCATTCTTCTTTCTGTATAATGTGTGAGAGCCCTTTCCTGTACCCCGTGGAGGAACACTGCACTTTGTGAACCGGTCGGTGATGAATACATATGACAGTGCCCGATCAGGGACGTTCGTGTTGCCTTTAATGAGAAACTGCTATTATTTTACGCGGATTTTATGTACGACTATCAGTAGCTCGATAAATTCTGAATTCACTTAAGGCGATCGGTAAGCCAGTTGGATGTAACATCCTTTCACCTGGATACTCCGTGCTGCTATTTCTAGCCAAGCCTCTCACTGGTTAAGAGTAAACTCAACTAGCAGCTATAAATCACCACCTTCTCTACCATCCGCCCTATCCTCCCTGTAGCCGATAGGGTCGCCTACGTGAGCAGTGATTTGCTTCGTTTTGCAACTATCTGTGAGCCTTGGAGCGCGCTTACTCACTTATCTTCGAAAATATAAGTAGTTATGCAGCACTTCATGAACCCGCTTGTGACTCCTACGGAGGTCGATTATTATAATTTTGGAGTTCTCCTGTGTAATACTTGAGTGACCAGCTCGTTTTTACACCCTTTTTGAAAGCAAATATATCCTCAATATACAACTGCTCCCTTTTTAATACATATTTAGCATAGCTAGCATTATGTTGCTCGTATTGTTTCGGGAGGCGTCTAATGCATGTGATGTTTTCATGCCTAATTCTACATTCTTATGTCCCATCACAACTTCCTTCGTTTCCGGGTAATTTGTAAACTTCTATGCCTCGTTCCTCCCCCCCCCACGCTTTTGGTTCAACAGGTTCGCAGAAAATGAGCAGACCGGGCTAAATGTGAGCACAATCGGTGGATTCAAACAGATCAACCAATCCGTTTTCGACGGAAATCGAGGTCATGGTCTGAGTGTGTGGAATCCGGATACGGCCACAGAACGCCGGTCGAACGAACCTATTCGTGTACATGTGCACACCACCGAATTTCACGGTACATTTTGCGTTACAATCCCACAAATTTTGCTCCTGAGTCCTGTGAGATTCTGGGAATAGATGAAGCTCAGTGTCTTTTTAATGATTCAGTGGGACACCTTAAGTTGTAGTGAACTGAACGTAAAGTGTGTTTCCTTGCGTTGCTTGCCAGCATAGTAATGAATGGTTGAGTACTATCGGGAACAAAATCGAAATAAATTCAACTCGGTACTTCCGTTCAATGCCAGCTTTAACACATGCGTTTTTCAAGTGAAGTGTCTGAGGTTCAACTTCCCACCCGTCCCCCCACGGGTCCGGTGACAAGCACTGCTTTTGGGATCTAAGTTGAGCGGAACTGCAATCGGGTAATTCCCGAGTGTACGGTTTACCATATGAACAGAGAACTAATCAAAAAGAACACTTGATACTTCGTATTCTTATTCACACAACAAAAAGAAAACAGTAGTGAAATGTGCGTCATCGATCAACTGGACATAGTGACCTATGTGTTTGGATAGTGCGCACTTGGATTTATCTTAAAGTCCAACAATTTTCGCTGGGCATTTCAACTGAGCAAAAACACAATTTGACCAATAGTCCTGATTGAGTCAAGGTGGAGGCACTGTAACTACGAATTGGAGTGCCGAGAGCACTTATTATATGGAAATCATCATTACACGGAACGATGCTTACTTCGGTGTGATTTCAATTGTGGTTGCATAGCGTATTATAACTAAGCTTCTACTGGATACGAATGAGGAATAAGTGAAAAATATGATGATTGTATAATTTTCAGTTGAATTGGTTTTCCCACATTCAATCAAATGCGTACAAATCATTAAATAAAATCTGGTGAATTTTGGGATAAGGAATCGGTGATGAATCACATGGTTCGATATTTTAACCAAAATTAGATCAGAACATGGAACAACGGTTCGATTCGCAATCCGAATTCTGTGTCACCCGATCATGATAAAATCGCCTCAAATTAATTTATTTTGTCTAAATCAAACCCAGAACTCAGAAAATGATGAGAGACGCATAACAATGAGGCGGGCTTTTTTTCTAGCCTTTGACTCGGTGTTTCTGATCAATAGAAAGTCATGTATGTCTACGCCTTAATTTATTCAGCCGATGGCACTCAACGTCACCATTCAGTTTGCCTCTTGTCGATGATCGAGTAGCGACACTTGATAGAAAAGATGTTTAATGATAGTAAACGTTACTGACCGGTAACCAGTGCATAGGGTCATAAATCTACTAATTCTAGTCTCGTTTTGCGGTAGGTTGTTTCGTCTACTGTCCCCCAAAATTATTGTCAACCATATAGGATTCGATTAGGAAATCTATGATGATGCGGGTATTTATTTGATGAATATTAGGGGCTGAATTAAAGAGTGGCGAAAGGACCAATTTTCGCTCACGGATATGCTAGAAGTTACGAATAAATACGCGCATCCAATATCGGGAAGCACAGCAATGACAATCAAACATAAAATCTAGTTTGCGAAAAGACGGATTACTAAACAATGGATGTTTCCAATCGAGATATACAACCTCTGAATGCTATGCTTACACGAGCAAGTTAATTTTTTTGCGGTAAGCTTACAAAGGTGGTTTGTGCTGTGTCTGTGATAAACAAAGTGTAATACTTCGATCAGCTTGCCGGTAATCACCTAGGCAGATAGGATTGCTTTCTGTCTGTAAAAGCTATAAGAACAGTTTGTTTTCGTCGAATAAGACAACTCATAGGCAGGAAACCGATTGGTTGGACATGAGCAGCCGGCATGGATGCGCTCTTTCGAAGTGGTTCAGACTGAAGTGTGATATGGCTGATTAGCGTAAACAGTGCACCTACTCATTATACCTGCAACCGTGGCCTTCTTGAATGCTCTATCTTCGCTCTGACACCAAGTTGAACATTCCAAACTTGCTTTAACTCCTTCATCTAAATTGGAAGTCATGATACAGCAACCAAAACCGGTCCACGAAGGTACTTGCTCAATGGTTGTAAAAACTGAACTGAACTAAAAGATGCTCATAATAAGCATTAAAATGAAGAAAAAATCATTATGATAAATTGTCTGAGATTTTCCTTATTTCCCATTGTAATCCTAAGTCGGAGCAAATATTGTAGACCGTGAACATTCTCCGGGAAAGGATACATATTCCAAGTAGAATGCGACACCATATTTTGTAATCAGTCGGGGGAACGGAATTTCCGACTGTATCATATGTTTGTCTGAAACGATGACCAGCAACTGTTTTTTTTTGTCTATTTCTGCTTCAGAAAATTGGTGGGATGGAATTCAGTTCTACAATTCCTGTTCGGACATGCACATACTCGTGAATTTCTCCACATTTAAAAGAAACGGAGCCAGTGGGATCCGGACTTATTCGTGCGTGTATGGTGAAAAGGAGGTATGAAAATATTTGTTTTGTTACGAATCGTTAGACTTACTAATCATGTACAAATGTTGTTTTTCTTACAGCCCTAACTTTATAAGACAAAAAGTAATTTTGACTCTGTTATTTAAATGAAAAATTGATATCAAAAGCCTGATTGGTTTGCATCCGATTTTTTATCTTAATCAACTGGTTACCGGAATTGTGCCTTCCGCTGTTTATCCTTAGAATGACCAGGAAAGAGTTGTACCACCAAGCGGTTAAAAGTGACTGATGAAACACATGCTAGCAGAACTGAACAATTTTGGATGGAAAACATGCAAACTGTTACTGTTGTTTCCTATCCGGGCTTCTGCGACCCATTTGATATGTACAGATGCACAAAAAACGGACTCCTGTTGGTGATGATTTATCTCCAAATGCTTGTGGACTCAATCACCAAGTGTCCCATAAGCTGTGAAATCTGTTATGTCCGGATCTCGTTTGATCACAATATACACACAACAAGATATCACACGAGACAC